TCTCATGGTCATAAGTAAAGTGAAGTTCGGACAGCGGGTGTTTTCCGGCGCATTGGCAGAATCAGTCGTGTCCACGACTTCTGTGCTTCGCCACTAGCTTTCAAAAGAGATTCATTTTAGCAACCATCCTATCTTGTATTTGCAAAGATATGCAAATACCCTGATGCAATAACATGTGGTGTTGTTTTCGCAGTAAAATCATTTCAAAGATGAAGACATCATATGTCATGAAAATTTAGGTGTATGCTCGCAATAAACACAATTGTCTTTGTTTTACCTTAATTGATTTAAATCCAGATAGTGCATGGAATAATGATGTAAAATCACTGAATCATATCCCAAAAGAATAACCTTTTCAACTAACTAGACATATATTATATATTTTCCTAGAGTAAACAACAGAAACAAAGAGAAAGATATATGTATAGATTGATTTATATTTTTACATTTGCATGGCGCTTGTTGTTAGTTGTTTAGCAAGGCGGAAGGATTTCCGAATTTGGGTGCGATGAAGAGGCATAAAAAGGCGTCGCTCAGCGTGGCCCTGGAATCCTTTGTTTTTGTTTAAAGCTATATATAGATACACATACACATATATATGGATAGGAAAAGGGGGGGCAGAGGGAGGGGCGATTGCCTCCCCCCCCCCCCCCCACTCTAGAATTGAGGGGGAGGGACCCGACATCTGCCCACCTCCTCAACTTTCGAGGACATTCCCTGTAAACAAAAACAGTGCAAATCCTTAGTTACACAGCTCTTGAGAACACTAAACCCCTGCAGCTGTGAGAGAAGCTACAACTGAGTCTGATGATGTTCAAAATGAAATAACAATTATTGGCCCAAAAAACCCGGTTTCTCATCATCATCATCATCTGAAAACCGCATCGATTTTTTTTTTATTCGACGAAAATGCGCCAAAAGATCCCGCCGTTCGCAAAATGTCTTCGCGAAAGCATCCCGTGCAGATAGGACTCGACCGCCAGACGACGAGTCCGGCCCACGCATGCTAATCTAGTCCTCATGACTTCCCCTGCCTTTGGGTTGCACGGCTTTCCTGTTTCTTTGAGCAAGCTTGGATACAATAAGTGATTGTATAGGGTGTCCCAGAAAGTGATTGTATAGGGCGTCCCAGAAAGTGATTGTATAGGGGTCCAGAAAGTGATTGTATAGGGGCGTCCAGAAAGTGATTGTATAGGGTGTCCCAGAAAGTGATGGTTAGGGTGTCCCAGAAAGTGATTGTATAGGGTGTCCCAGAAGTGATTGTATAGGGTGTCCCAGAAAGTGATTGTATAGGGCGTCCAGAAAGATTGATGTCCAGAAAGTGATTGTATAGGGTGTCCCAGAAAGTGATGATTGTATTGTATGTCCCAGAAGTGATTGTATAGGGTGTCCCAGAAAGTGATTGTATAGGGCGTCCCAGAAAGTGATTGTATAGGGCGTCCAGAAAGTGATTGTATATAGGGCGTCCCAGAATAGTTTTTTATGCCTTGACAGCACTCTTGAAGCTTTGTCAGACCTGTACAGAAGATGGGTGTATAATTGGAAAGACCTGTGGCACCTGTGGGGCTTGCCTGAGAAGCGCGAGATGATGGTAATAATAGGTATTTATATAAGTATATATATATTAGAGTAATATATATAGTATAGGTTATATATAGTATATATAGTAATATGTATTGATATGATATAACATTATAATGTAGGAGTATATATATTTATATATATAGTTATATTATAAGGTATA